TTGTAGCTGAGAACTACAGCATCTCATTTGCATGTTGATGTTTCATGGTTCAATCCCAGTTAAGGGCTGTGTTGTAGAGCTCAGAAACAAGCCTGCGTGAGGCAGTCTTGGAGAGGTGTTGCTAGCCAGGGTAGGGAATATTGGGCTACTCTGGTACAATATAAGGCAAATTCATGTCTTCAAAGGAGTCTCAGTGTGTGTTAGTTTGAGGATGGTCAGAATTGTGGAACACAAGGGCTCCCAACTCTCAGACTATGCATTCACTGAAATAATTTATCCCATAGGCAAAGTCCTGAATTCAGGCGTTTTTAGTTTTAATGTGTCTCAATTCTGGGCTGGGCTTTTAAGATTTTTGTGTAGTCATGCAGGCCAAAATTGTCAATTTTTTGAAATGTCAAACCCTCATAACTCACAAACGGGATGAGATAAAAAAATTAAAATTTTAGATTTAAACTTAGTTTTGATCATTATTAATAAAATTGGATGACATGAGGTAAAAAAGTTGGATCTCTTTTTATGGAATGACCCTTCTGTAACAGCAGGAGCATCCAACCCAGTGGAGCATGAGAGAGAGGTCACAGAGAAGGAACTGGATCTGACACCACAAGCAACTGCCCCAAGGGATGGCAGCAATCCCTCCCTTCACTGGTATTCTCTGGGAATCAGAAAGACCTTGAGCTTGTGAGAGCCAGAGATGTCAATGGGGATCAGGTAAAACATGTGTTGCCAGCTTACCTGTTCTTGACTTCTATCTTTAGGTACTAAATATGGGTTGGTGTTCTTTTAATGTCCCCCTGGTTCCATGACTATCACTAATTCCAGAAGCTAGTTGTGGCTGCCATCAAGGCCGTGAAGCTAGATAAGAGAACGAGTTTTTGCTTGCTATCATGCAATTTTAAGATAGGTACAAACAAATGGAATGGCAACGATTGCTCGAGAAGATGTGAAAGTAAAGGAGATTTGTTGTACATTTTGAAGAGAATTCCTGAGAAAAATAGAACAGCAATAACTGAAGCAATCAAGATCCAAATCTCAATCCTGGGCTATGTGATTCCTTGGCTGTTGTGTGGAGATGGTTTAAAACTTGGTTTTATTGCTCCTTGTAACCTATTTTTATGGCAAGGTCCTTTATAGAAGGCCAAGCATTATGCCCTGTGGTCAGTGTTTAAGAATGGTTTGTGAAAGGGTGACAATGGTTTGGCAAAGCTTTGGGACAGTACAATCACTTGTGAGATAAAGGGTGGGTTAGAAATGAAATGTTAAAAGAAAAACAAATAACAATTTGCTTTTAAAAGGAATTTTTTATTCAGTGTTATTCAATATCATCAGCCAAGTGTAAAAGCCAATGAAATCCTCGCTATTGTAATCATGGGCACTGATGTCATGTTCCCTGTGCTTGTTTATTTGGGACATTTGACGGCTCCTGTGATATTGGAATTGACTGTGGTGTTTGCCCTGTAAGTATTGAATAAATGAAGTGGCCTTCTCTGCTGGTGTCATGGGCCAAGTGTCCAAATGAGAGCCTAGAATGAATTGCTTCTTGCACCAAGACTTGCTAATTCAGGTTTCCTATGGCCAAAGTCGGTCCTTGCCCTCTTGTGTTACGTCTGTGGCCATCTGCTCCATTTCCAGTTCAGCTCCCAGGGCAATAAGTCCCCCTAGCACATATTTCTTCTTTTTCCTGATGGGGGGAAACATTAGCAGTTAAAGCCACTGTTTCATTTTCCTTATGGCAGGAAAAGGTTTCAGACTTTGCTGTAGAAACTGTGCTATTTAACTGTTTCTTAGGGCATAATCTCCACCAGAGACTAGCCGTGTGGCCTGATTTTGCCTAGTCCTCTCCAGCTGTTACCATACAGATTCTTGGTCAGAGTACAAGAGCGGCTCCTCCTTCTGAGCCACTTCTTACTCTTCTACTCTGATTGCCTCAAACAGCATTTCTACTCAGAGCAAAACTGAAGCTGTGGTGAATATTTGAAGGTGGCGGAACTTATTTGAATACCCTCCCATTATCCTTCCCGTTACTCAAAGGCTGTAAATGATGCTGGATGCTCAGAGATTATCTAGTCCCCAAGAAATGTAACCAGAGAAATCTGGCCTAGGAAACTTGCTCCCTAGCAAAATTTAAATCACCCCAATAGCAGTAGATAGCAGTAGATAGACAAAGCAAAAAATAAAGTTCCTAGCTCAGCTGTAGCTGACAGATGAGCTTCAGCTAGATATGCCTAGGTTGTAACCCATGTGGCAGGTGCAAGCATCAAATAGGTTACTTAGGATGTGTTCACTCTACCACCTGAGAGTGCAGTGAAGTCCCCCCACCCCATCCAATGCACCTAATGGGGTGCAAAGGCAGTTGCAAAATAGGAGGCAGGGAAACGGGGGTTGAAGATGAAAGGGGCAGAATAATAGGAGTGAATGGTGGTGTTCTAGCCGGGCAGAAGATGGAAAGGATGCTTAGTAGCTGCAATGTGTGGGAGGAGGATACAGGATGTCACCATAGGGGTGCTTTGTGTAAAAGGAAAGTGTAGCAAGAGAGGAGAGAGGAGGAGGCATGAATGTGGTGAGTTCCAAAATAGTCCCTTCTTCCCCCAACAAAGGAAAAAACCACACATTTGGTAAGTAAAAAAGGGTTTTCTTACAAACTCTCCAATGGTCAGGTTCATGTACTTTTCCACACATCAGCCAGAAAGGTTGCACAGGCAATAAAATTTAGTTTAGTTCCAAAGAAGTGAAAATTCCTCCCAAGGTGAGGGGAAGTGAGCTAGCTAAGCCTGGCAGGACAGCCTACTCTATGGCATTAACCCCTTCATGCATTAATTAGAGTTAAGCATTTTGGTTATATGAGCCTGGTTATCTCACAAAAACAATGTGGCGTGAATGGAGCAGAATGTAGAAAGGAGGGCAAACAAGAGTTGTAGAAGGGCTGTGAAGGTAGAAGCAGGAGATAGAGAAATAACAGGGTGATGTGAGGGGTCTTCAGGTGAGATCAGGACAGAATGTGGGAATGGTGACAGTGGTAGAAGGATGCTGGGTAATCATGGGAGGTGGGTAACTGGAAAGGGAGGCTAGATGCTGTGGATCAGGAATTGGTTAAGTTGCAGGAAGCAAGCAGTAGGAATTAACTGACAAGTTTCTCCAAAGAGAGAGGTGTAGAAAATGGAGTCCCCCAAGGATCTGTGCTTTGTAAGTTGCTCATAGGCAATGTAGAGCTAGCAGTGAGTAGTGAAGTGCCACGTTTGCCAGTGATACCAGTTTAGGGTGGTTAAAACAAAGAGAGACTGAAGAGCTCCAAAAGACCTCTCCAAACTGAGTGAATGGGCAGTAAAACAGCAAATGCATTTCAATATAAACAATTGTAAAATGATACATGTTGGGGCAAAAAAATTATCCATTTCACATATATGCTCAAATTTCATGCTAGGGATCAATAGGAAAAAAATTGAAAATAAACTACATTATCATAATGTCATTACAGTATATAAATCTATAGTGTGACTGCACCTCACCGTGTTCTGGTCACATTGAAGAGTTGGAAAAGGTTCAGAAAAGGGCAACCAAAACAATTGTGGGGATGGAGTGACTCCCCTGTAAAGAAAGGTTTCAGTGTTTGGGGCTTTTCAGTTTAGAGAAAAGGGGAGTAAGAGGAGACGTGATAGAAGTGTAAAAAATTATGTATGGGATGAAGAAACTGGAGAGAGAAGTTTTTCTTTGTCTCACATAACACTGGAAGTTGCAGGCATCTGATGATGCCAGTGTTGGACCATTCAGGAGAGATGAAAGAAAGAACTTCTTTATGCAGCACATAGTTAAACTGTGGAACTCCCTTCGACGGGAGGCAGCAAAGGCCACCAAGCTAGATGGCTTTCAAAGAGAATTAGAGACATTAATGAAGGCAAGGACTCTCATGGGCTGCTGGTCACGATGCCTTTGCTCTGCCTCCACAGCTGGAGGCAGCAAACGTTTCTGAATATCAGTTGCTGGAAAACACAGGAGGGAAAAGGGCTCTGGCCTGGGTTTCCCACAGGCATTTGGCTGGCCACTGTGAGAACAGAAGGTGGCCCAGATACACCAGGGGCCGGATCCACGAGCTCCTCTAAGGTTCTTAGATGAAACAGCCCTCAGAAAAATCTGAAATTAGGTGGTATGGGAGTAAATTTGGATGCTAGCTATTTTAAGATAGTTCTATGACTCCCTGTTCTTATGCAAAAATTGTCTATTACCTGACTTGGAAAGGCCTGTAAATTTGTAACTGTGATAATCAAATGCAGCATCTGAGCCCCTGAAACTCATAACAAGTCTTTATTAGTGTTTATATAAGTGACACAGAATAATTAAACCACATTTAGTTTGAAACTGACCATGGACTCCAGAAACACAATTCATACTTTGCAAGGCATTCTTTCCAATACAAGTAGTTGCTTAACTAACTTAGCATTAAACTGTGACAGTTCCTTTATGTGACTCCTAAATAATTCAGGTTTTTTTTTTCTTCTGCACATGTCTTTCAGACAGTTCCTTTGGCAAGAAATTCAGATTCTCCTTCCCCAAGGTTTTATTATATAAAAATAGAGTGAAATTTCCTTATGTACAAACATTACATTACATCATATACAGGTTTTTAAAAAACCACTATGAAAAGGCAGGCCATGGGTGAAACAAAAGGTCAATATAGGACAAAAAAAAATAAATACTGCACATTTCATAAAAATTACATTAACCACAAAGAGTTTTTTGTTTGCAAATATCAAACAGTACCAATGTAATTGGAAATCTTTCCCAACAACTTCATTTATAACATATATCTTAGTGTTTAAGGCACATTTTGCTTATTCCTACATACTTCACTGAACCGAGTCAATAATTTAAGAACTCTTGGGGGAAATCAAACAGTGTGCATTTATGTAGGTACATGCTTTGGGGATAAGATGCAAGGGAGGGCACAGGTAGAGGGGTGTGGTTTTGTGTGTGTGTGTGTGTGTGTGTGTGTGTTTAAAGAGGTGCTAAAATACAAAGACTTCTTGTATAAACTTGGAAGCTTGTCGGGGCTGGCTGTGATCACAAAGCAGTGAGAAAGAGACTTTGCACATGCTCAGAGTCATTGTCCTCTTCAGCCAGCCTGCAGATAACACAGAGAGATAAACATCTCCAGCAAATGCGTGGTTCTGGAAATTCAAGTTCTGTGGCCTGACACCAGCTTCTTACATGGCTCCTGTGGCCTGACACTCATGAACCTCAGCTCAAGTTAAGTACTCATTAGTAGTTAAACCTTCTGACTGGTCTCAGGTGGAGGGCCTAAATATCGAGTGGAGGGTGCTTGGTATAAGGGTACTGAGATCTCTTGGAGGTCTGGCAGCCTCCCCTGATGAGGAGGTGACAGCAATGTAATAGCTCTGTCATAATCCCTATGCAAGACTTTCTCATAGACACTCTGCAGCCCCACTGTCTTGGGCAGTTGTGCCTGATAATAGTTATCTCGGCGAAGGGAATCCCTGGGCAGTGAGGTGCTTTTGCAGAAGGTGGACAGCTGGGTCTTTGGGTGGGGGGATGAGTGAGGATTGGCTTGGCCACAGGAAGGGCTCCAACATCGATCTGAGTGGCCCAGGATCTTGCATTCAGCAGTACAAGCCCACAACCCTAGAAATGCAAGGGGAAAAACAAACTTGAGAACATGGACACGTAGCAAGCAGAGCACTGTTAGGGCAGCACCTAGGAGACTATTGTATCAGTGCCATTCTCAGTGAGAGGAAAGATGGAAAGGGGAAGAATCATTTCATGAAACTAACATGAAGGACAAAAAGATCCTCATACAGCTACCATCAAAACTGTATCATAGCAAGCTTCCATACACCAAGTCAGATCTTTGTTTCACCTAGCTAAGCAGCCTGTGGAAGTTTCAAACAGGGCTCCTTCCCAGCCCTAGCTGGAGATGCTGGGGGGTGGGACCTGCATGCACCCTCCCCTTAAAATGACAAGCCACAATACAAGCCAGCACAACTCAGAACGTTGTGCCAAGAAGGATCCAAAGGATAAGCATTCTGAGCTGCTTGGAGAAATGGCAGGATAAGAAATAGCCAGACAGAACCTGGTCCTTTGGCTTCGGGTGATGTGGATGCGCCCCAAACTGTCAGCCACCCTGGCTGCTATATTTTCCCTAGTTGTGAGATTGATTGAAATCTATAGCTCTTGCTGTAATTAACAGCCTATTCCCAGACTCATTAAAATTGAGGAGGGTTTCCAAAAACAGTAGAATAGTGACCAGGTCTTTTGGTGCTGGGTTTCTTTCAATGTTTCTGAGACAACAGTTTCCAAGTTCTGTGGCATTCTGAGGGGAAAGTGCCAAAGTTTAAGGCATCCTTACCATTCTGCATGTGAGTGATGAGATCCTTTTTAAGAGCGTCCCCACTGATGTCAGAATCACTGTCGTTGAAATCACTATCGCCTTTACCACTGTCTTTGCCGCTGAACTTCTCTGCTTCTCTGCCTGATATGGTGTTGAAAGAATGACCCTTCCAGATGGCCACAGGTGGGACTGACTCTTTGCTGTAACTAGGGGTAGAGGCATAAGACTGGAAGAAGGTGGAAGGGCACATGTGAAGGATTTGGGGGGGGGGCGAGGGGTAGAAAAGGAGAAAAATGTTATAAGGAACAGCAGTGTTAATAAAAGCAGTCTAACTAGCAGCTTGGACCACATCCCTGTGAATTGGAATCATCTAGACTCAAGCTAGGCTACAAATCAAGAACTTTTGTTTAACTCAGGCATCCCCAACCTGCGGCCCTCCAGATGTTTTGGCCCACAACTCCCATGATCCCTCACTAACAGGACCAGTGGTCAGGAATGATGGGAATTATAGTCCAAAACATCTGGAGGGCCGAAGGTTGGGGATGCCTGGTTTAACTGATGTGTAGACTGGCTGTAAATAACTTTAAATGCAAACATCCCTGCTTAATTACTTTAACAATGTGAGACACTACATAACTTTTACATAATGTGGTCCTCCTTTATTACATATGCATCAAAGAAAGAACATGCATTTAAACCACCTAAGACACATGGGAGCATGTGGAATGATATTTTTTAAACCAGGAACTGTAGAAATAATTTTTTATTTGACTATATTACTAATGTAATTATCTGGACGTAGTTGGGGCTGTTTTTTTTGGGGGGGGGGGTTAGGGGAAAACTGTATTTGATTGCTTGTATCTGATTATATGTTGTTCTTATATTCAACTAATAAAATATTTTTAAAAAAAATTACTTTGGGAACTGGATGTAAAAATCCCAAAACATTCAAGAATAAGCTAAAGAGGGGGGGGGGATAATAAGCTAAGGTGCAAGAAGCAAGGCGCCTCTCCCAGGGGGGAAAGGGAATCAAGACCATGGGAAATGCTACCTCTGCATTCGTCCCCCGGAGTCTGCTCTGGCTGTCATAGAGACTGGCGGTCTCTCTGATGTTTTCTAAAGTCGGGATGTCTTCGCTGGCTGGGGAGGGCTCCGGGCTAGCAAAGGAAGATTTGCTGGGGAAGGAATGAACTTCGAAGCCATTGCCTCGGGTGCCAGGGCTGGAGGAGATCAGGCCACTGCCCTTGCCTTCCTGCTGCCCCTTCTCCAGGTGAGAGCTGTCCAGCGGCTCCTCCAGGACTCCCTTCTTCTCCTTCTTGCGCCTGTTGCAAGTGGTGGCGATAGTGATGATGGCCACCAGCAGCAAAGTGCAGCTCCCAGCAAGGACGATGATGACAATCAAGGGGATGTCCCACTGCACAGCTTTCCCTTCCCCAGTGTTGGGCTTGGCCTTGGAATCCTGGCTGCTTGCGGGAAGCAACGCAGCAGTCACCTGGAAACTGATAGGGACGGTAGTGGAGAGGGGAGGCCGTCCATTGTCGGCCACGGTGAGGAGCAGCTGGTAGACTTGGCCCAGCTGTTCTTCTGAGAAGCTCCCGGTGAGCACAACTTCTCCTGTTTTCTTGTTGATGGCAAAGAGGTCCAGGGCTGGTGGCTGCTGTTGCTGCGGATCTTCTAGGAAGGAAAAGCTCAGCTCAGCGTTGACTCCCTCATCAGCATCTCTGGCTTTGATGTGTGCCACCACCGAGTCGTGGGCAGCTTTTCTGGACACCCCGATCTCAAGGGAGCCGTTGATGAGTGCTGGGAGAGTAATGACAGGCGCATTGTCGTTCTGGTCTACTACCCGCACCTTCACCAAGGCTGCGCTGGAGAGCTGAGGGGAGCCGCCATCCGTGGCTTGGACGGTCAGCTCCAGCTGCTTGAGGATTTCGTAGTTGAAAGTGCGCAATGCGTAGATGGCCCCCGTCGCCGGATCCACCGAAACATAGGTGGAAATGGAGGCGCCCATTACTTGGCTGTCCATCAGGCGATAGGTGACCTTGCCGTTGGCTCCTTGGTCCGGGTCGGCGGCGAGGACGGCGGCGAGGTAGGCGCCAGGCGGGTTGTTCTCCAGCACCGCCACCTCGTAGCGCGCCTTGGCGAAGCGAGGCGCGTTGTCGTTCTCGTCGGCCAAGCGCACGGTGAGACGGTGCACGGTCTTGGCCGGCGGCGAGCCCAGGTCCTCGGCCACAACCGTGAGGTTGTACTCGGGCACGCGCTCACGGTCCAGGGCGCCCGTGGTGAGCACCACGTAGCTGGCGTCGTAGGCGCGCTGCAGGGCGAAGGGCTCGTGCGGCGCGGCCAGCAGGGCGCAGCGCACCTGACCATTGGCTCCCGCGTCGCTGTCCGAGGTGCTGACCAGCGCCACCAGGCTCTCGGCCGGCGCCGCCTCGCTCACGTAGGCCACCGTCCAGGCGGCAGCGGCGCCCTCGGGGGACGCGCCCCCCTCGACGAGCGGTCCCGGCTCGGACCCCGCGCCCGTCCCGCCACTGCCGGCGCTGAGGGCGCTGATGGCCACGGCGGGCGCGTTGTCGTTGACGTCAAGGAGGCGCACCACCACCTTGCAGCTGGCCGCCAGCGGGCTGGCGCCGCGGTCGCTGGCCTGCACGTCCAGCTCGTAGGCGCGCTGGACCTCATAGTCGACGGCAGCGCGAAGGCTGAGGCGCCCCGAGAGCGGGTCGAGAGCAAAGAGGTTCCGCGCCTCGGCGGGCACCTGGCTGCCCCAAGCGTAGAGCAGCTGCCCGTTGGCGCCCTCGTCCGGGTCCGAGGCATCCAGGTCGAGGAGCAGCGCTCCGGATGGCGCGTCCTCGGGCAGCTCGACGGTCAGCAGGGCTCCATGTGGGAAGGCGGGCGCGTTGTCATTGGCGTCCAGCACCCGCACGCTGACCGTGGCCGTGCCCGAGCGCGCCGGGCTGCCGCCGTCCTTGGCCACTAGCTCCAGGCGGTAGGCGGCCTGCGCCTCGCGGTCCAGCTCGGTCAGCAGCACCAGCTCGGCGCACTTGAGCCCATCTGCGCGGCTCTGTGCCTCCAGGCCAAAGTGGCTGTTGGGCGAGACGGCGAAGCTCTGGATGCCGTTGGAGCCCACATCCAAGTCGTGCGCCAGGTCAAGCGGCAGGCGGGTGCCCGGCGCGGCGCTCTCCGACACCTCCAGGGCGATGAGCGGCTGCGGGAAGCGGGGCGCGTGGTCGTTGATGTCCCGCACCTCCAGCTCCACGTGCACCAGGCGGTAAGGCGAAGGAGGCGAGCCCCCGCCGCTGCCGCTGCGCGGCCAGCCCAGACTCACCACGTCGAAGGCCAGCACGCACGGCTCCTCCGACTGCCCGCACAGCGCCTCGCGGTCCAGCCGCTCTGTGCCCAGGCTCAGCTGCCCGTCCCGCTCGCGAACCTGCACCAGCGAGCTGTTGCCCGGCGCCTTCACCAGGCGGAAACTGCGCTCTCCGCCGCCTCCTCCCGGGCCCTTCAGGGGCAGCTCGTCGGCCAAAGTGCCGATCACTGTGCCGGGAGGGTCTTCCTCATAGGTGTGGTATCGGATCGTCTTGCCGAGGGCAGAGGAGAGCAGCCAGCCTAGGCAAAGCAGACCCCCAGGGTGGCAAAGGTTGCCGGGGCAGCGCCCGTTCTTGCGCACATTCATGGCTCTGGCACTGCCTTGCGCGCCGATCAGAGAGAAGGAAGGGGCCACTGGATGCGAGGGGGCGAGAACGAGGGGCCAACAGGCCAGCGGCTACTCGCGAGTTCTTCCCTAGCTCGGCGTGGGTGCTCTCTAGACTGGCTCCATGCGCGGCCGCTGCTCGGCTACCTGCTCGCTGGGCTCCGCGCTGCAGCTGCCTCGCTCTATCCCGCTTCTAAGCCGGCGCGGCCCCTCCGAAGGGTCTTTAATAGACGCGGGTATGCAAATTTGCGTAGCGGATCAGCCAATGGTGGGCTCCCTTACCTCCCCAGACGCTTCCCCGACCATCTCACATCGCAACATGCACATATATTATATGTGCCGGGACTGGTGAGACGCAGGAGAAAAAAGGCTCTGGAGGGAGCCTTGACCTTGTGTCCTTCGGCTCTAGGGCGTATTTTTCTTCCCTGGGGGGCAGTGAGCGGGATCATGGCTTTGGGCTAGAGCCGAACTGAAGGGCTCCCAGCGTCTCCTCCTAAGGCGGGGCAGAAACTGGTGTCTTAAGACAAGTCCGATCCAGTCCATTCCAAATGCGCATCCCTTCGGCCGCCGCGCACAGGCGAAGAAGTCTCGCCCCCGTTTGAAGCCCGGCAGGGCTGGGCTTTCAGCCCAGGATGATCTTTGGGGGGACAGGACTGCCTCTATGGCCAAGGAGCTCCCCTTTGCGCCCCATTCTCCTTCCCACGCAGAAACCCCCAGAACAAAACAGGAGAAACAAGCCTCTTGTAAGAGAGAAACCTGCGTTGCCCTTCCCACGAGCTCGCCCTAGGATGGCGTTTTTGTGCAGTAAGCAGACGGAGGGGGGGGGCGCGGGGACGGCAGAGAGAGTGATCCAGATCTTAAGCTTTTGGCCAGTAGGGCTGCGAAACTAGGGGCAGGGGAACTGGGGCTGAGCTCCAAATCGGATTTCGACTAAACAGGGGGAGCTTTCGAAAGGTTTCCAAGATGACACTGTATAAATGGCTCGTGAAGCCCTCGTTAGCGGTTCGCCAGAGAATAGCTTGGCGGTCCTGCGCGTCGGAGCCACCAATGTCTGTATTACTTCCCGATGACAAGCGAAAAGGGCAAAAGAAGAGAGGGCGGGAGAGGGAGATTGAACCCCCCCCCCAGCCCCGCCTGGAGTGTCGGCTAAATTGAATATAATGAGCGGGGCGCCACATGGAGCCGTTCTTGTCCGGCTCCATTCATCGCCCATCACTGCCATAGCTCTTTGACCGGGGCGAGGGTGGGCGCTGAAGGCAACACAATGGCCGGCTCGAATCGGGGGGGGGTATACTTTTGACCCCCCCCCGTCCCTCCCTTCCTCTCTCCCTCTGCAATCGGCCCCCCTGGTGCTCTGCTTTGCCTGTTGAAGGGATTTGCTTTTTGTCCTCTCTCTGGGAAGCCAAACTAGTCTCGTTCCAGGAGAACAAAATAACAGCATGAAGCTGAAACCTGGAACGAACCTGAAGGGAACTGGGATGGAGGGACGAGGCCGGCCAGTGTGAGTGAAAGAGAGGCATGCGGGTGGGGGTGGAGGGCTAAGCCATCTGCTCTGGGGAAGCCAGCCACCGCCAACTTCACGATCTCACCCATGCACTCGATTCGCGAGAGCCACAAACCCCGCCGCAACGGATCCGCGTAGAAAACGGTCCAGGGATTCTCTCTTTCTCTCCTCTGAATCGCACTTGTTCTGGTCACGTTTGTGGGTCGATCGGAAAGGCAGCGGAACGGCAGAGGTCAGATGGCCACCTGTTATGGCTGCCATCCTTGAGATTCCTGCATTTCAGGGGGTTGGACTGCATGACCCTCGGGATCCCTTCGAACTCTACCATTCTAGGAGCCTGTGACTCAGTTAACGAGACCAGCCTGTCGGGGACCTGCAGAGAATGCATCTTTAACCCAACCCTATTACTTTTACACGGAAGAAACCCCCAAAAGTCTGCGCCCTGCTCCCACTTCTCCAGTGGGACTTTCTTCCGAGTAAACATGCCCGATGAGAAAAGTAGCCCATTCCTCTGGCGAGTCACGTTTGCTGCCAAAGAGTGGGGGGGGGGGGGGAGAGGGCACTACCGTGTTCTTTGATGTAGGCGGGGCTGGTGGGTTGGCAAGGAAAGAAAAGCGGCGAGGCAATCCTTCTGCGCACACCTCAAGGGAAAACCTTGTGCGTGCGTGTCCCACTCAGCCATTTGGATTCCTCGAGGTTCCGCTGGTTAAATGAGTTTGAGCACGCAGAAGCTGGCTTAAATAGATTGAGGAGGGTTCGAAGGCAAAACTTCCATTCATTTCACCCTAAGTATTCATAGAATCATAAAATCTATGAATCTTAGTAGGAATCTTAGTAAAGCATCCATGACAGATGGCTATCCAACTTCTACTTAAAAACCTCCAAAGAAGGAGAGTCCACCACCTCCTGAGGGAGACTGTTCCACTGTCAAACAGCTCTTACTGCCAGAAAGTTCTTCCTGATGTTTAGTCGCAATCTCCCTTTTGAAACTTGAATCCATTAGTTTGGTTCCTACCCTCTGGAGCAGGAGAAAACAAACTTGCTCCCTCTTCCATATTACAGCCCTTGAAATATTGGAAGATGGCTAAAATATCTCCTCTTGGGATTCTCTTTTCCAGGCGAAACATACCCAGCTTCTTCAACCATTCCTCATAAGGCTTGGTTTCCAGATGCTTGATCATCTTGGTCATTCTCCTCTGCACCTGTTCCAGCTTGTTAATAACCTTCTTAAACTGCGGTGCCCGGAACTGGACACAGTATTCCAAGTGTGGTCTGACTAGGGCAGAATAGAGTGATACTATTACTTCCCTTGACACTATACTTCTGTTGATGCAGCCTAGAATAGCATTAGCTCTTTTTTGCTGCTGCATCACACTGTTGACTCATGTTAAGCAGGTGGTCTACTAAGACCCCTAGATCCTTTTCACATGTACTACTGGTAAGCCAGATATTCCCCATCTTATATTTGTGCAGCTGGTTCTTCCTGCCTAGGTGCAGAACTTTACATTTGTCCCTCTTGAATTTCATTCTGTTCTCCAGTCTGTTTATGTCATTTTGAATCCTAGTTCTGTCTTCTGTGGCATTAGCTACCCCTCCCAATTTGGTGTCATCTGCAAAGTTGATGAGCAACCCCTCAGTCCCTTTGTCCAAGTTGTTTATAAAGACATTGAACAACAATGGGCCCAAGACAGAACCCTGCAGCACCCCACTTGTCTCTTTTCTCCAGGATGACGAGGAACCATTAATGTGTACTCTCTGGGTTTGGTCAGTCAACCAGCTGCAAATCTACCTTACAGTTACATCGTCCAGCCCACATTTAACCAGTTTGTCTGCAAAAGTATCATCGGGAACTTTGCCAAAAGCCTTCCTGAAATCAAGATACACCATGTGCACAGCATTCTCCTGATCCACCAAATTTGTAACTCAATCAAAAATAGAAAGGAGATTCATCTGTCAATACTTGTTTTTGAGAAACCCATGCTCGCCGCCCCGCCCCCCTTTGAAGATCTGCCCATCTCTGTCTGCAGGAACTTCACCTGTTCTCCAAGAATTCTCAAATATTATAGACTGAGGCTCTGAGATTACATCCATAAGCTCCCTTGGCTGCAGCTCATCAGGCTCTGGAGATCAGAATTCATTTAAAGTAGCTCAGTGTTCCCTTACCACCACCTACTTTCCTTTCTTGGGCTGCAGCTATTGTTCTTTTTTGTACATAGCTCTTTCTTTTTCTTTTTCTTAGTTTGTTCTTTTTCTGCCTTTTTGATTTCTTCTTTCTTTACTCTCCTTCACTTTTGTTGCAATGATTTTGTGTATTTTTGCATATGTTTGTATTTTAAATTAATAAAGAATATATATATATATATATATATATATATATATATATATATATATATAATAATTATTATTATAATAATAAAAATAATAAAGTAGCTCGGTGTTCCCTTACCACCTCCTTTCCTTTCTTGGGCTGCAGCTCCCTCATTACATCACCAGGTTGGTTTCTTTCCTTATGGGTGAAGACATGATGGGACTACACTATCTGCTCTGCGAAATGAGTTTTAATAAGTAGGAGAGGATATATTAATTGCAATTTATATCTCCAGGCATCCATCTCCAGGTTAAACATAGTTTCAAGTCCCATCCTTAGCAGCAAATTGAAGCGTAGGAATTAGGCTGTAAAGTCTTCTTTTGAACAAGTCCAATTGCAAAGCAAGCTGGCTCCTTCTTTTCTTACTCAGCTTAAGAAAGACTGGGAAGTAAATTAAAAAATATAATTTACTTACTCCTAGTCTTGCATTGGTTCTCAGCTACAGCAGCAGTAAAGAACTTTGCAGGTGAATACTTATATACTTATATAAATCAGGGGTCGGCAACCTAAGGCCCATGGGCCACAAGCGGCCCACAGGGGTCGTTTAACTAGCTCACAAGCCACCCCCAAACTGAGCCGCCCGCTCGGCGAGTCCCAGCATGCTGCACTAAACTGGTGCGACGTGGGGATTCACTTCCATGGCGCTGGAAATCACGTCTGTGCAGACGCTGGAAATCGCAGGCCCATGTGCTCACACATGCATGCAATCCAGGTCATGGAGGGGTCTCCGCTGGAGTGAACTGGCCCAGGCGAGGTAAACCTTGCCAATCCCTGGTATTAACAGTCTCAGGCAGATGCCTGAGCTGGAGTAGGCAAAATGAATGTCTGCCCCATCACTGGTTGAAGGAAGAGAAAGAGGGAGAGGAGAAGATGGGAAATGACATCACACAGTGTCCTCTCTACCAATTACATTTTTATGGTAGCAATACAACTCTGTGGTTGTTAATCCCTAAACTAGCAAAAATGTGCCTTGTTGTATGTGACTGCTCAATCTCTCGCATACTGGATTGCACCACCACCATTGCCCCAGGGTATGATGGGGTGGTCCATTACCAAGCAAAACTGTTTGACTTGTTTTAATTTAGAACAGGGGTGGGAACTTGTGCTCCT